TGACCATTCAACCTATTTCCATCACTTATGGTGAGTTGGAAAAACCCCTTAAACTTAATTCTGGATTTATCAATTTACTTCCTAAGTTTCATGGTCTTCCTGGAGAGGATCCTTTTAGGCACATATCTGAATTTATGATCACTTGTGGTGCAATGGTGCCTGAAGGAGTCTCTCCAGACCAAATCAGACTTAGAGCTTTTCCTTTTTCCCTTTCCGATAAGGCCAAAGATTGGCTTTACTATATGCCAGCTGGATCTTTCACCACGTGGAACGACCTTCATAAAGCTTTTCTTGAGAAATTTTTTCCGGCATCTAGGGTTGGGTCGATTAGGAAAGAGATTTGTGGGGTTAAACAATTGAATGGGGAGAACTTTTCTGAATATTGGGAGCGTTTTAATAAGCTTGTTTGTTCTTGTCCTCAACATCAAATAACCGAGCAGTTGTTAATCCAATATTTTTATGAAGGACTTTTGCCTACCGAGAGGGGCATTGTTGATGCTGCTAGCGGTGGTGCATTAGTGAACAAAACCCCTGCTCAAGCGAGGGAGCTTTTTAATACCATTGCCCAAAATACCCAACAATTTGGAACTCGTGACAATGTAGTGAGGCCGGTTAGCGAGATAGGGAATTCATCTTCTCTAGAATATAAGCTTTCTGCCTTAACTGATGCTATTTCTAAACTTGTTGTGGGTAATATAGGGGGTAGTAAGGGTAAACCTTGTGGAGTGTGTTGCTTGGAAGGTCATCCCACTGATGCGTGTCCAACACTCCAAAATCCTGAAGTCAATGCTTTGTTTTTCAATAATAACAACCAAAAGAAGTATGATCCTTTTTCTAACACTTATAACGAGGGTTGGAGAGATCATCCAAATCTGCGTTATGGTCCTCCGAGGGGTAATAATCTGAATTTTTCTAATAATCCACCTCCCCAGCAAGATAGGGCAACCCAGATGTTAGAACAAGTGCTTAAAAAGATGGATGATAAATTTACTTCGGTTGACATAAGCCTTAAGCAACTTCAAGAAAGACAAACAGCCTCTGAAACTTTGATTAGTAATATGCAAGCTCAAATGAACAATAGGCTGCCATCTCAACCCTTTCCCAACCCTAAAGAGAACCTTAATGCTATAGAGTTGAGGAATAAAAAAGTGCTCAAAGAACCTAAAAGCATTAGGGAAGAGGAAAAAGAGTTAGAAGTTGAACGTAGAAGTCCAAAACAGTCCTTAGAACCTGAAATTCAGCCTCTGGACTCTGAAGACCAACCTTTAGAACCTGCAACCAGCATCTTAGATGAAGACAATGAGGCTGAAAAATCTGAGGAAAAAGGAGAAACTGACCTTAGTGATAGAAATCCAGCCCTACCACACCTTAAGGCACCCTTCCCTAGCAAATTCCTTCAACTTAGAAAGCCTAAAGAAATTGATCTTGCACTTCTTGATACTTTTAAGAAGGTAGAGATTAATTTACCTCTCTTAGAAGCTATTAAGCAAGTCCCTAAATATGCTAAGTTCCTAAAGGAGCTTTGCACCAACAAGAATAGGCTAACGGGGAATGAACGGGTAAGAATGGGTGAAAATGTCTCTGCAGTTTTTCAAAAGAAAATTCCTCCTAAATGTAAGGATCCTGGTGTTTTTACCATTCCTTGTCTTATTGGTGATTTGCACTTTGATAGGGCCATGTTGGACTTAGGGTCTTCTATTAATGTAATGCCAAAAGACGTTTTTGATAAGCTTAATATTGGGGAACTGAAACCGACAGGGGTAGTGATTCAATTAGCCGATAGGAGTTATACTTACCCCGAGGGTCTTCTTGAAGATATCTTGGTGAAAGTCAATGACTTAGTTTTTCCCGCTGATTTTTATGTGTTGAGCATGGGTTCTAATACCTCTGACATACCCATTCTTCTTGGTAGACCTTTTATGAAAACTGCTAGAGCTAAGTTTGATGTTTATGATGGGGTTTTGTCGCTGGAATTTGATGGTGAAAAGATTGAATTTAACTTATCTTCTGCGATGAAAAGTCCCATTGAAAATAATCAGCTTTGTTCTATGGATGTGATTGATGATTGTGCTCAAGCTGTTTTTAACTTGTCTAGTGATGATGTGTTTGATTCTGTGTTGTGTAATAGTTTGGACAGGGTAGAACTTGAATGCTTAGAGTACAGCCTTGCTGAGTTTGAAGAGCTAGAAAACCTTAGCCAACCTGTGTTTAGGGCTGAGTTACTTGAGAACAGACCTAAGCTAGCTCCATCCTTAGTCTCTCCACCTAAACTTGAGCTTAAAGACCTGCCCGACGACCTTAAGTATGCATTTCTAGGTCCAGATCAGACCCTACCAGTGATTATTTCCAGTGCTTTGACCAAAAATCAGGAAGAAAACCTCCTAAGAGTCCTGCGAGAGAATAGCCAAGCAATTGGTTGGACTTTGGCA